CCCCGCCCCGCCCCGCCCCGCCGATAAACCCTAGCTAGCGTAGCTCCCCCCGGACCCACCCGCCTCTCCCCGACGCCGGCGCGCTGGCCGCCAGGTGAGTAACGCGTCCAATCCCATCTCCTCCCCTCCCCTCCGCAATCCTGCGATGCGCTCGTCGCCGGCCGGCCCGCGGCGGGGTTCTTGCTTGAGCGCCGGCGGCGGCGGTTCTTAGTCTCTCCCCGGGATGATTTCCTTCATCTTCGGGACAAATATAGCATCGGCATTTCTCGACACAGATAGTGGATTTGATTGGATTGGGTTGGGTGCGCGCTATTACACGAGTTGGTTGCATTTTGCCACATTCTGGTACTGTCAGTATAGAATCCTGATTCATAATGCCTAGAATAGAATTGACCTGACTGCAGAGTGGATAACACATCCTGTACTTAATTAACCTAGTCGTGCCCTGTTTGTTTTCTTAGAGAAAGCGAGTCTTTCTCAATGTATATATGTGCTCGTCACCGCCCCGCGGTGTGGTTCTTGCTGGAATGCCGTCGACGGGGTTAGCCGGCCCTGATGCTCTTCATCTTCGGGTCAGGGAGGGCATGTAAAGCTGGCGTTTTTTACACAGGTAGTGGTGGGTTGGATTCGATTCGATTGGATGCTCTTACATGAGCTGATTGCATTTGCTTAATTACATTCTGGTGCCCTTAATCCTGACAGATAACAAATGTATAGAATTGACTTGATTGCGGAGTGGACAACACATCTTGTACTCCCTCCGTAGCTTGCAAAATGGTCTTACATTATAGGACGGAGGGAGTAGTTAGCTTAGCCGTGGCCGTCTTTTTCAGTATATATGTGTGGACGAACAGTTCTTTCTTTTAGAGAGTATGAATTGAGCTAAATCTGCATAAACCATTTCGTTTCGCCAGTTGCTGGGTACTATCTAAAATAACTAATCCCAGATAGGTAGTAGAGAGAAGCTGAACTTTTTGTTGTATTGTACTGCTCGATGATTTCCCACCCAAGCTCTGCACTCTAGCATTTTGTGGATAACAGCATTAGTAAAGGTCGTGTGATCGTACAATGAGTACTAGATTGTGACTGGAAACAGAATTTTCGGAATTTCAGTTGTGTTGATGGACCTACCAAGTTGGTACTTGTTGATGGAGTAACTTGTTCTCTGTTGATATTCGTAGTACCTACTTTGCAAATTTCATCACTGATGATGTGTAGATTTTGAATCCAGATCCAAGTTGGTTGGCTGCAGTTCTGCAGAGGCACCATGGCTGCTGGTGACAACCCACACTCAATATCAGAGAAAAAGGCAGCACTGAGGGAGTCACCTAAGCAATCCAAGAATGATGTTAATCAGCAAGCCAGAGCTTCTACATTTCCTAAAGACAAAGTTGCTGGGACTGTTGGTATCAAGAGGCCGCAACCTAATGCCCCCCTGAGCCTGACCAACCAGCACGCACCAGGAAATCCCGGGGCAAATGGCCATCTCGTGTATGTGCGCAGGAAGCTTGAAACAGACCAAAGCAAAGGAGGCGCTTCTGCTGGTGCAGAGAGTGCCAATTCTGTGAGCTCAAAGAAACCTGCTACTGGTGGACCGCAGGAGCAAAGTTTGAAGCTTCAGAACAGCGCAACTCATGCCCAATCAGCTCCTGTTTCCGCGTCTCCTGCTGCAGCTGCTGCTACCACCAATGTGTCTCATACTCCATCAGCTCCTGTTTTCGCGTCTCCTGCTGCAGCCGCTGCTACCACCAGTGCGTCTCATACTCCATCAGCTCCTGTTTCTGCGCCTCCTGCTGCTGCAGCTGCTGCTACTGCCCCTGCTTTGCACCCTGCAAGTTTGCCGGCTCACCTTTCTCTCGCGAAACAGTCTCCAGGAGTGGTTGCTGCTACTGCCCCTGCATTGCACCCTCCAACTTTGCCAGCTCACCTTTCTCTTGCGAAACAATCTCCAGGGAAGGCCACTGTCCATCCTAGTGTTGTTGTGACTGCTAGTCCGCCGCACCGCAGTGTTGTGTCTACTGCAATGCCTCAGAACTTTACGGCTGCCAATACATCCCTTTGTAATGTTGTGGCTACTAGTACAGCACCTCGTGATGCTGTGGCTACCGCTACGACATGTAATCCGACCGATTCGCAAAGATCGGGGGATCAAGATTGGAAAGCGAGGTTTCTTCGGCTGCAGGCATTCCTGAGAAATAATGAGCAATCAGGACAGGAAGAATACATCCGCAGTAAGTTCATTATTCTTAGCTGACAACAAATTTACCACAACTGCTATCTAAAACATGTGTGTTTTGTCTGAACTGTAGTGCTCCAGTCTTTGTCATCTGTTGGCCGGAGCAAGCATGCCATTGAGCTCGAGAAACGAGCAGTCAATCTCTTAATCGAAGAAGGTACTCCTCAATCTGATTTTTGCAGCTTTGATCTTGCTTCTTAACATTGCTTATTGGTATTTGTATTTTCGCACATTGATTCATCGTAAATCTCAGGGAAGGAGCTGCAGAAGATGAAATCTCTGAATGTGCTCGGCAAGCTTCCACCTGCCGAACATCCGTCACTACCAACTCAGCCAACTTTTGGTATGCGTCTGCCGTTCCAGCCATTCCCAGCCCGCCGCTGAGAAGAGCTGAAAATCAGATGTCACTGCATGACGAGTGTCCTGACCTGAAGCTTTCTCATGACGAACTCTTGCCACCCCAACGCTGCATCATGGTCAGCATGTTTTTGCCTGTGTGAGCATAAGCTTTTCATGCGTATGTCCAGAGACTTAATGGTAGCTGAACAGACAACCCTCTCATGGTGCCGAAAGCGCATAATAGCGGTGCACCTTGCCCGAACTTTGATGGATCTAATGTAACCATGAACCCCATAGGTAGATAACTGCTGTGAACATGGGGCATGTGGTTCACAGACTCCCCTAATCTCTGACCAGCATATTCAACGGGTTGCACTGACGTAGGCTGTGCCAGTATTATTCGTGTGTTGCATCTTGTTTAATTGCACGGGCGGGGATCAAGCCATCAAGGTAGGAACTCCGTCAGCAACAAATAAAAGAAGTGCTAATTTGACTAAGATGCTTCGTTATTGATGCTTATATATACTATGCACCCTAACCATGACGGCACCACGACTATTAATAACAAGTTTATCGCTTAAATACAGATCGGGACAGGCATGCTCCCTCCCAACCAGCACATCATATTTGATCTTATGTTTATGCACGGTAGCAATGATATAGTTTTTGATCTTCTCTGATTCTCTCTGTCTTCTCACTACTAGTTCTTGTAGACCAACAAATTCTCAATAATATGGAGAAATGGAGGTTTTACATGATACCTTGTCACTCAACGTAGACGGAGCCGCCATTTATGGATGGAGGTTTTTACCTCTTTACTTTGTTGTCATTTCTGTAACGTCGCTAGCATACTGAACCTCGGCCCCCTGAATTGAGCATGGCCATCAGGATATCAGATATTTTCAAGTCACACACACCATTCTAAGACTTCACGACATCGACGACGTCAAGGAGATCAAACTAGGCTTCCGAGCGTACCATTGGCGCAACAAAGTCGCGGAGGAATAAGCTTCCAAGCATACCATTGGCACAGCAAAGTCGACAGGAAGAAACTTTCAGCAGCGAGCCTCCGTGGGGGTACTTGCCCTGGTACATGGAGCGAAGCTAAATGTAAACCATGAATGAATGAATCACCTCCCTTGACCTGGAATATCCAAATCCCCAGAGTTCGATGCAGTTCAGGCACAGCTTCCAGCCAAGTTGTCAGATTCCCAAGTATCCGTTATTGGGTGCATCTCCCAGTTGATTATGTGATCCAGCAGGCTTTTTCAAGAATATATCCCTAAGAAAAAAAACACTAACAAGTGACAGCCTCTCAAGAAACCACACACGCTTTGATCTTCCCGGTAGCCCGCCACCGCCATTGGTTGAGCAAAGTCATTTCTTGAATACCAGTTCCGAGCAAAAGAGCAGAAGTTTCCTGCTGTACAACGTTATTGAACAGCTTCAGCAAAACACTATAAATTCCAGCAAGTGAAGCAACCTCTGAAAAGACCACACAAGAGGAAACGCAAACGAGGCAGAGTGCAAGCCATTCACGGAAATAAAGCTAATCAGTCGGTAAGCGACGATGGCACCAATACTAGTTTTACAGGTTCTGATGCCGAGATTGGATCTGTGTTGGTGGTGACTCGTCGCGGGTCCCACACGCATTAGGTGTCCACTGGCTCGGGCCCCGCCTACCGGAGAATTTTAACAGCCAAGCCGGCATCTGATTGGCGGGAATTAAGAAGACCTTCTCCATAGCTGGTGGAGCTGATGGTGTTGGCATGCCACTAAACAACAACAAGGCTTTTGGTCAAATATGAGACAAGTACTCCCTCCGTTCCGAATTACTTGTCTTGGATTTGTCTAGATACGGATGTATCTAGACTCATTTTAGTGCGAGATACCTCCGTATCTACACAAATCAAAGACAAGTAATTCGGAACGGAGGGAGTAGCAATTAGATGTATTTGCAGTGGGCTCTAGGCTAGTGACTGAACCAATATATAAAACGGGAAAGCAAGAGAAAAAGTGGGCACTGCATTTGTTTTCGTTTCTAGTGATGTCAGGGCAACGGGTATCTCAACTCACAGATGAGCATTTGCGGTGCATTGTGTCACCTCCAACTAGTGTCTTCTCCTCTCTGTGTTGATCCAAGAGCAATGTATAGCTCCATATGCAGCAGCAAACGGATGCTGACATAAACAAGCACATGTGGGCAGTAGAGAACAGATTAGCTCAGGAGAATAAATATGGCAAATGGGTGTGCTTCCGTGCTCCCCACAATTAAAAATGAGGTTGCGATTAAATCAAAATAGCAACAAAGTGAGCTAACCACAGTTCACATAGTTCCTTTTCTTCTTTTGAAACAGCACGTAGCACACTCAAATGTAATGAGAGAGATAGGAGAAAGTTTCAAAAATAAATAAATCAGATAGCGCCAGTTGTACTGTGTTGCCTTTGTTGCATTGCCAAGAGGCATCAAAGATTCCTAGACATGTCACGGAATAATGAATCAGAGCAGTATTTTAGTGCCCTCCTCCCTGATCAGGGCGCAGAAACACGTTCTAGTGGGAGGAATCAAGAAAATTGCAGTTAGCAGTACTTACATAGTAAGTTGTGGCAAATTAACATTCTGACAATCTTTAAAGCCCTCCCAAAAGGGAACAGCCTTGGGAAGAAAAATCTATTGCTCTGGCATAGTTAGGCTCCCAAATTGGACTTTGGTATTGGGGATCACATGTATGTCCACCTAAACCACCATTATTTAGCTCACTAATTGATCCTTGTTCTGAACAACTTACTGCCTTTTAATATTCCCAAGTAGGGAAACATAGAGAACTGAGGAAGGTTAAGATCTAACAAGAGAAAAAATCATTAAACTAAAGCACTAACCAATCCCATATAGATACGTGACTAGCCGTACATATGTAGCTTTACAAGATGCAGTCCTGGGAGCAAGCACAGTCCATATTTAACTGCGCAAGTGCATCTGCGATCTCTAGAAAAAGGAACTGCTTAGCTCATAAAGCATCTAGGGCTAAAATAATTTGGTGCCAGACAGCCCACAACCCATAAATCTATCTATTTAGCATCTGTGAAGTTTCCTCCCTACAGACTCGAAAAGGTTTTCATGGCATTTTTTTCTATTATTTAAGCACTTTTTTCACGGGAAGGTACACAGGCACTTTTAGCCTCTCAGGATATTTCCTGTACTTCAATTTTTGAAGGCTTTAGAGAATTTTTTGGAAGACTACTAATACTTTTTGTGATGTAATTTGCTGCCAGAGGGAATCATGTGGCGTGTGTACGCAACGGTAGTGGGAACTGGGAAGATACTAAAACGCCTAGCTTTCCTGATAAGTCCCCGGGAATCTGTGGTTTCCCGTTCATTGCACAGTGATGACAAATTTTATAGACCCCACACAACTATATACCAGAATCTCTAATTAGTGCACCCTCCCTGATCCCCCTCTATGCAGTGACATCACTGATGCAAGACTTGTGGCCTACATCTTAGTGGCCTTGCATGTGGCCTCTAACCACAAGGACTGGTTCACAAAACAAACCTCCTTAATGGAATGGTCACATCAGCCACTGTTACAACCCTGTAGAACAAAAAGATCTCATAAGTTCTACTCCCCCCGTTCCGAATTACTTGTCTTAGATTTGTTTAGATACGGAGGTATTTAGCACTAAAATGAGTCTAGATACATCCGTATCTAGACAAATCCAAGACAAGTAATTTGGAACGGAGGGAGTAGGATTTACTATGGTAATACCACATGAATACACATGTACAACACCAAGGCAATAAGCAACTACTTTAAAAATAAGGCAATACACAATTATTATTATTATTTGGAAATGGACGCAGTTAGTTCCGTGAGGGAGAAAGCCTTCCTTAGTTTATTCCCGCCGTGTAACCGCCCATGGTACATTGATATTGTCAAGGAGAGGAAGACGGCTTGACGCAATTAGTTCCGTGAGCAAAGGAGCATTCCTTAGTTTATCCTCACCATATAACCGCCCGTGGTATATTGGACGGCTTGACGCAATTAGTTCCATGAGAAAAGAAGCCTTCCTTAGTTTATCCTCACCATATAACCCTCCATGGTATATTGGTATTGCAAAAGAGAGGAAAACGGCTTGGTATAGATTTTTGTTAAAATCAGGACTTATCAGGGACAACAAGTTCGAGCGCTATTTCTTCAGCTTTATCTAGATGATATAAAAACCCAATAAGCACAACTTACACCATTTTTTAATTTTGTGTTGAAGCGCAACTTACACAAGTGATTGGAGACGCTGGTAATCCTTGTCAAGCCGGCCACATAATGACCCACAGAGTTGACTTTAACAAGGCAGTGGGCATAGTTGGATTCCTGTGAGGTGCTGGGGCGGGGCCCCCAGTGAGAGGGAAAGATTCTAACAAAATAAAGAAAATAGGAAATAAAGAAACGCAGTGGTGGGCCCCACAGGCTTTGTTCTTACGACAAAGCCAGACAATGAAAGGCAGAAGCAAAGCGAGGGCAGGGCCAAACAAGGCCAGGACAAGCACAGCAAATTTCTAGTTTTCCTTTTCCATCTCACAGCAGCAGCAGCGGCGGAGAGCGGAGAGAGCAGACAGGGGCGCCTTTGGAACGAATGGTGGGGGGTGCTCTGGTGGAGCACTGAGCCTTTTCTAGAGCTGCTACTTGCCGGAGGAGGAAGAGGGAGGGAGGGAGGGAGGGGAGGGAAGAGCAGAAGGGGGGCACCGTACGATTACCAGTGAGCACCTACCAATCTCTTTCTTTGCTTCCTTTCTGCAGAAAATGATGTGTTCTCCCCTACCACCCTCACCCCGCAATCCAAACACAAACGCGAGCACATCTGACACAAAGATCTTCCCTAGACCCCCTCCACCCTCCAATACTCGGTTCACCCAAGATGCGCTTCTTGGTTTCGAGCAGGAGAGGACAAGTATTGTGACTTGCATCCATGCTCCTGCTTTCAATTCCAAGGCTATCTATCTATCTTTCTTTTTTTCTTTCAGGCGCTAAAACTGATGCAGTGTTATGGTGTCAAATCAGCGCTGCTATACACACGATGGTGTGTGGACGATTCCTGAACGATAACGCAGATCAACTCATCCATGCACAACAGTAAAGTGAAGCAGACGGCTGGATTTGGCCGTCGTCTCCTTGTCGTGCACGCAGTATCGTCTTTACAGCAGTTTCGGTGTCAAATTGTGTGATCAGGTTCTGAAGGAAGCTTTACCTGTATGGAAGGTGGGGACGCCCCGCCAGGCATCTCCATGGGGCGCGCCATGTCCTCGGAAGGCGACCTGGACCTCCTGGAGCAGCTGCTCTCCGGCGACAACGCCTGGCTTGAAGTGGCGCCCAACACTTCTCGCTCACCCAATTTTTTTGCTTCTCCCTCCACCTTCCTCTCAGATGCCACAGCCACCACCACCACGACGCCGGCAGGCGCAAACAGCACCCTGTGGATTCCGCCAGCCTCCTCCACCGTCCGGCAAAGGTTTGAGCAAGCTCTGGATTACATCAAGCAGATGCAGAGAGATGCCGGCATGCTTGTGCAGCTATGGGTGCCGCAAAAAAACTGTGATGGCAAGTTGGTGCTGACAACGAGCGGGCAGCCATTTACTCTGGACAACACCTCAGATAGACTCATGCAGTTCAGGGATGTGTCGACGCATTACCACTTCTCTGCAGATGTTGGGTCGGAAGCCTCACCGGTTGGGCTCCCCGGGAGGGTGTTCATTGGCAAGCTACCTGAGTGGTCACCGGACGTTCGGCTCTTCACCAGCTATGAATACCCCAGGGTAAAATATGCTCAGGATTTGGACGTCCATGGGACGATGGGGCTGCCGGTGTTCGAGAAGGGGAGTTACTCGTGCTTGGGTGTCATGGAATTGATCATGACCAGGCAGAAGCTCAACTTCACCTCAGAGATCAACGACATCTGCAGGGCTCTCCAGGTATTGAACTATTGATACCTCAGTCACTTAACCTGAAAGTTTTCAAACATTAGTCTGCAGCAAGTATAGTTGCACAAAAAGAGTGTTTGGTGTCATGTGTAGGAGCAAGACACATAACAAATGCCAACAGTAGGAAACAATCATGTTCTTTTTCCTAGATTTGAGATCTCTTAATGGCAATGCTCTTTGCAGGCAGTTAACCTGAGAAGCACAGAAGTTTCAAGCACTCCGCGCGCCACAAAGGTAGGCAGCAAGAAAAAACTCAAGATTTGTATCACTGCTGAGTTTTGGTTTCATTAGAACTGAGCCTTTAATACCCACATACTAGTGAAAGAATTTGCTCCTCTCATGAAAGTCTAGATCTCTAGTACAAACCCAGTTATTTAGGCTCCCAACCCAGATATTTAAACTCTCAAACATCAGAAACTCAGTGGTTATAGAGCGGTTTTACCATGTTGTCTGCCTACATGGCATCCATTCCAATCAGTGTTGGATAACCAAGTAAGGCAGGACCCACCAGAGAGGATAGAGGAGAAAGAGAGGATGGAAAATGTTATTTTTCCTTTGTTTTTCAGTTAAGTTAATCACTATGTGAGGCAGCTTCCTGGGATGGCTCATTGGCTTGTAAAAGAATTTGTCAACCTAGTGTCTACCATATCTCACAGTACAAGTAATTGTAGATAAATACCTTCAAATGAAATAATGGTACTGATATCTTCTCATGATTTCATGGCTGCTCTTGCTGATTATCAATCAGTTCAACAGTGCTTCCTACAAAGATGCTCTACCAGAGATACTAGAAGTCCTAAGGGCAGCCTGCGTCACCCACAATCTCCCATTAGCTCAGACCTGGGTCACATGTGCTCAACAAGGGAAACGGGGAAGCCGCCACACCGATGAGAACTACCCGTACTGCATCTCCACCATTGACACAGCATGCTACGTCAATGATCCCCAGATGCAGAACTTCCATGACTCCTGCTCTGACCACCACCTTCTGCGTGGGCAAGGAGTTGCAGGGAAAGCCTTCGAAACGAACCAGCCATGCTTCTTACCAGACATTGGATCTTCAGCTAAAGAACACTATCCATTATCCCACCATGCTAAGATCTTCAACTTAAAAGGTGCCGTGGCAATCCGGTTGAGGTGCACGCGGACTGGGACAGCGGACTTTGTGCTAGAGTTCTTTCTGCCGACCAACTGTGAAGCCCTCGAGGAGCAAAAGGCAGTCCTGGACTCCTTGTCAGGCACCATGCGTAGTGCTTGCCGAACTCTACGTGTGGTTACGGACAAGGAGATTGGGGATGAGGAAATGCTGGAAGTGAATGAGCTGAACTCATTTGGTCCTCAAGGGGAGAATAAGGTTGAAGAGTTGTCCTTTGGAAACCAAGCAACAGAACATAGAGAGGAGGCATCATGGACAAGTCTAGCAAGGACTTCAAAAGAATCAGATTTAGCTGAATTAAGTATGCATGGTATGCTATCACCTGTAGGACAGGGTCTATCTCCAGCTGGTGCTCAGACAAGTGCACAAGGCAGCAAAGGGAAAAGGCGCACAAAGACAGAGAAGACTGTGAGCTTGCCGGTTCTTCGGCAGTACTTTGCTGGTAGCCTGAAAGATGCAGCAAGGAGCCTTGGAGGTTAGTAACCGTAACTCGTCACATAAATGCAAGATTCAGCTATGAATAGTTTACTGTTTTAGTATATACCATCAGTCATTAATCTATAGTGGCACAAGCCATGGACCCAGCATGATAAATTGAATGCTCAATAAGAAAATGTTGTCTCCACATTGTGAATTTCTTTTAGTGTTGTCCCCACATTAAAGTCAACCTCCACATGCACCTCATAATAAAATATGGACATTCTTATCACCTTTTTTTGTGTTTTGTGCTGTTAGCCTGAAGGGGAAAAGAAGGCAAATCTTTATTAATCGCAATAAATTGAACACGATGAGAACTAAAACAGGTATAAAACAGAATAGTCGACTCTCAAGAACTGCCATAACAAGTAAATTTACTACCTTACAATTAGTTAGCATCTACTAGATGGCCTAGAACTGATCAATATCTCATAAATTTGCATTCATCGTTTGCAACTGGCAAATTTACATGACAAAACAATCAATTATATATTAGAGGACGATATTATTCAGTGCAGTGTTCTGTCGCACAGATAGGGCATATGTAAGTCATACCAGGCGAAAAATAGGACTCTAAATTCATCATGTTGACATGCTATGCTGCTTTCTAGAAGTAGTACAGCTAGCATTGAAGTCCATGAGTCAAACATAGCTAAACTATTCCTTTTAGCAGACAATAGAAAGAAGACAGCATGTTCATCATGTGTACATTTTGTCTCCAAGGTGTGATCACACGTTTTGTGTGAAAGAATACTTGTACTGTCATGTACACTTATTTGATCTACTGTCAAACAATAAAAAATAAGAACTCTATTCAGCTTGGGTGGATACATGCTCACCACACTTTTCTGTCTCTTACAGTGTGCCCTACCACCCTCAAAAGAATATGCAGGCAGCATGGTATAAATCGCTGGCCATCACGAAAGATCAAGAAGGTAGACCATTCTCTAAGAAAGCTGCAGCAGATCATTGATTCAGTTCACGGAGGAGAGACAGCTTTCCAGCTTAATACCCTGTACAAGGATCTCACAAACACCTCTGTATCATCTGACAACAATTTGTCAGGAAGCGTCACAGTTCCTCCACACAAGCAGAGCAATCTCACTGATTTTGAGGGGCACCGACACCACAGGCTAAGCAGTAATGTGCCATCAACCTCACACTCACACTCATCATGCAGCCAAAGTTCTGATTCAAGCCCGTCATCGTGCAGTGGTGGATCAACAAAGCATCCACCTCAGGCTGGAGTTGATTTGCTTATGTCAGGAAATCCTGTAAATCACAGCCCTGTCCAGACTCTGCAAACAGAAAATGCATCAATAAGAGGACATTTCCCAGTTCAGGAGGCACCAGATCTGTTGCATAATCTGAACCAACAGGCTTTAGGTGGGCAGCATTCTTCTCGAAGCCCATCACCCCCAAAACAGAATGCAGATGCAGGTATGAGAATAAAGGCCACATTTGGCTCAGAAAAGGTCAGGTTCAGATTGAAGCCTGAGTGTAGTTTTCAAGAACTGAAGCAGGAGATGGCAAGACGTTTGAGTATAGTAGACACAAGCTTTTTGATTGTAAAGTACCTGGATGATGATTTAGAGTGGGTCTTGATGACATGCGATGCAGATTTACAGGAATGCCTTCATGTATATAAACTAGCAAATCTCCAAACAGTCAAAATTTCAGTTCATCTAGCTCCTATTCCGGAGGCAAGGGTCACTATTGGTCACACTGGTTTGTCATAAAGACATCGTAGGCCTCATCAGCTTGTGGGATTTAATCAGAAATCTACGAAGAAGCAGTGCTTGGTTTTACCAGAGGGCAGCCCAGAATCCATGATTGGCAGTCCATGCTAGGTAGCAAGTAACATCACTGCTTCCAGTTTTGCTGCTAGCTGGATTAGCCTTTGATTTGATTCTCAGGCTAGGAGCTGCTGATGACACTAAAGCCAGTTTCAAGTATTAGAATACACTGAAGTAAGCATGCATTGACTTGTAAATACTCTCACTGATGTACCACAAACTCTGAATGACAGTCCAACTTGATTGTGTTGATAGGGTGGATATCTCTGAATAAGGTTTGCTCAAGATATATTTTGGTTCTTGGAATGTTGATGTGCAATAATCCCCAATGGCTTTGTCTGATTATTGATCAACTGAGGATATGCCGCCATTCAATGCCTCACCCAAGTGACCAGCACCAAGGCTTTCAGTGTTCAGTGTGTTTTATCATTCAATGGACATGAAGCTCTATTTTTGTAACAAAAATTCTGCAGTAATTATTCTGGATTAGTTCTAGATATTGGAGGATAGGGTACTTTGTTCAATTTTTTTGTCCTTACAAAACTAAATATGTATGGTACACTCGTACCACAGAACTGTCTCTTTGCAAAGACTGTTTGTTGCCGTAGACAGTGCTTTATTTAAGAAGCTTTCAGTTTGGTGACTGTATCGTCAAATGTCAGTATGCAGATTGAATTAATCACCGCTCAAACAACTTTGAACATGAGATAAGGTAATTCTGTTAATATGCCTAAAATGCAACTAACACCAATGAATTTCAGTTCATGTTAATAGGTAAGCATGCGCTTTTGTAACGATTGATGAGTAATTTTAAAATCTATGTGGAGGATGAGAATAGATACTTTTCAGTTTGCCCTTGCTGATGAGTGATGACACAGACTACACAACAACCAGCAAACTATTCAGCTTACAAGATGAAACATAGTAGAAACATGAGTAGATGAACAATAATAGAGCAATAACAAATACAAAGAATTGAAGTATGTCACAGCTACATTTGGTACATGGAACACAGATCTAAAGGCCTATGTTCACTGAAAATTTATCCAGTTCAGAAATATACCTCTACATAGTCTACCAACAAGGCCAAACAAAAGACAGTACATCATACCGTATCATATCATGTACCCCCTCTGTACATTAATGTAAACGTCTTACATTAGTGTACAGAGGTAGTATATCTCAAATGCGGCAATTGATAGATGTATTCTATAACTGAGACGATGAATGTATTCCAGAACTGAGAGGATGGTTTCAAATGATAAATGTACAAGGTATGCAACTATTACTACATAAGTAGCAAACATTTAAATGACTAAGATTGCTTCCAAAAAAGAAGACTACGATTTACTTCTCTGCTGGATTTGTCACTGATTGTTTAGCCATCTCCTCATGCCTTCAAGGATATCGCCCCAAGACATGTTAAACTTTTGTTACCCACCTACAGACATCCATTGCAAATTCCAAGAGATCACCAAATCCCAAGTGAAGACAGCTGGAAGCCATCCTTCAAAAGTTCAGATGTTTAACTTAAGCTCCTCCAGACGAGGATATCTACAGATCCTTCCTGACAACAGAGAGTTGCCTGTCAAATTAAATGCCAAGAACCCAAGGGTCAGGGACCATATAAAGGATGTGGCCTGCCATTATTCTCAATAATATTTCCATCAGACTCAACATCAGGTCATCTTCAATACAAAAGGTGCCAAATCATTGATTCCTTGAAAACAGGATGCTTGTCTTCACAAGTTAGCAGCATGACAGAACGAGATGATCTCACATCCAAGTGTCAATAATACATCGAGCAGAATAACAGAGTGACCTCAAGTGCCCCCCATTGTAAAATCTGTCAGGCCTGCAATAAGCCTGCCAGCCAACTGCCTTGAAACCACAAGGAACGACCCAGTCTTGCCGTATCTTAATAATTGATCTTGTTCCAAGCTCAGCATAAAACAGTTGAGGCCTTGAAGGGAGGGGGCTTCATGCTGCTTCAATCTGAATGATGGCCATGCAGGTTAAGCCAAAATGGTGTTGTTTATACTTCAGAGAGAAGGCAGACCATGTTTATAATGCCAAGCGCACAGTTGGCATTCACGTGTATCTGCATGGATCTAAGAACATCAGTATCGGAATGAAAGGCAGAACGTACCAGGACCATTGTTGAGGAAATCGTTAACTGGTAGCTGCTCGGTTGGCTAGCGAGTAGGGGATTAATCGGCTAATCGGCAAGTTAATCGGCCATTTAATCAATTAATCGGACGATTTTTCGGTTTATCGGCTACTCGGTGACCCTATGAGTAGGGATTAATCGGCAAGTTAACTGGTTAATCGGATGAATTCTTGAACATGGACCAGGACAGGTATCAAAATGGACAGCAGAAACACATTTATCAACAAGAACACCACTGTGACCAACTACAACAATCAAGAATGGGCAACAGACAAGATTATGTAAGAACACGGACTGTTTTTCATCAACTGCTAATTTTTAGCATGACTTTAGCGGACCGACTGTACATTTGCTTCTTAAACTAAAGAGATATATCCAACTATGGCTCCAGTAGAAGAATGAGCTTAAATGTGTCTCCATGCTAGCTGCTATGATGCTAAGAAAAATAGTTCTTAATGCAATAAATGATTAGGGAGAAGAGTTCACAACATACAGATTGAACAGAACAAATTAAGGTTGCTGGGGAATGCATATCACATATGGGGTTCACCAAGTATATATTGAAAAACGCTGTAATGACAACACTGACAGTAGGCCGATAGCTCATTGATCTACACTCCCTATAACCCTAAACAGAACAATGCAAGCGTGTTCACTATCAGAGATGAGAAAGTAAACCAGGGAAATTGTTCATACTCCCTGATAATAATAAGCATAATAACACGGCACGGACAAATGCGACCAGGATAGCAACAAGAAATTATTCATTGACCAACTCACAAAATTTCTAGGAACATTCATCTTAGAATACAAACACTATCATAGAAGCATACGCTGAAGCTCAGTCATCGTCCTCGTCGCTCTCGTCGCTGAAGTAGCCTTTCCTCTTCTCCTTCCTCGCCGCCTTGGCCTTGGCCCTACCCTCCTTCTCGGCCGCCTTCTCCTCCTCCCCCCGCGTGTCCACCACCGACGCCCACCTGTCGTCCTCGAACGCCGCGGCGACGGCGTCGTCGTCCTCGTCTGACTGCCAGGAGGGCCCGTCCCCTTCCCCGCCCCCGCTTCCGCGGCCGCCGCCACGGCCACCAGCAGCCCCGCCCCCGCGGCGCGACTTCTTAGAGGGCGGCGGCCGCTCGCGGGGGCCGAGCTGGTTGCGGGGGCACTCGTAGGAGAGGTGGCCCTCCCCGCCGCACTCGTAGCAGTGGGACTTGTCGCGGTACTCGCGGCGGCGGATGAACTGCGCGGCGCGGCCGTTGTCCTCGGCGATGGAGGCGGCTAGGGTGCGGCCGTTGAGCACCTTGCCGTGCATCTCGGCGGCCGCCGCCACGGCGTCCTCCCGGCGGACGAAGAGCACGAAGGCGACCCCCTTGCTGCGGCGGGACTCGCGGTCCTTGAGGACCGTGACGCGGGCCACCTTGCCGAAGCGGGAGAAGAGGGTGTGCAGGTCGGAGTTGGTGAGCGCGAAGTCCAGGTTGGAGACGTACACCGTGGACTTGGACGGCGCGAGCCCGCCCGAGCCGCTGCCGCCGCCCCTGCCGCCCCCGCCGCGGCCGCCCGACGCGGGCGCGCTGGAGGGGGCGCCGGCGGAGGAGGAGGGCATCGGGTAGCGGTAGAGGAAGCTGTCGTCCTCGCCGTCGGAGTCGGAGCCCTGCCGCCGCCGGCGAGACATTTTCACCTTCCTGCCCCCCTGTGGCTGTTCCCCCTCCTCTCCTTTTTTCTTTGAGAGAGAGAACCCCTCTCCTCTCCTCTCGGAGGCGGTACGGTAGAGGAAAGCCTTGTTTCTCCATGGGCCCGTGAAAGAGCAGAATAGTTGTCGCTATGGGCCTTCGCAGAAGAGTGGGCCGACTCGTGCTTCATTTTCGGCCCATCGTGTATTTCCTTTTTTTTTCATCCATGGCATCAGGCTAGTCATCCATGTGAGAAAATTTTGGGTATGCCAAGTGATGTTGGCAACTCAAAAAACGGTGCTTTCAAGTATTTGCGTGACCGAGTCTTGAATAAAGTAAAAAGGATGGATGGAAAATTGATGTCTACGGGTGGTAAGGATGTCCTCATAAAATCTGTTGCTCAAGCTATTTCAGTTTACTCGATGTCTTGTTCCAAACTTTCTAGAGGACTTTGTCAGCATATTAATTCTCTTATCAAAAAGTTTTGATGGGGAAACAAGAAGGGTGAAAGAAAGGCCAATTGGGTTTCTTGGGAGGTCATGACAAGACCAAAATATATGAAAGATTTGGGCCTCAATGATATAGAATTATTTAACCTTGCTTTGTTGGCTCGACATGGTGTATACTTCAGGACCCAAACTATTTAACTGCAAGAATCCTCAAAGCAAATATTTCTCTACAACTGATTTTTTGCAAGCTGAATTGGGAAGCTCACCGTCTCAGGTGTGGCATGCAATAGTTGAAGGGAAAGGAATATTGGCTCAAGGTCTAATTAGAAGAGTGGGCAATGGCATAAAAACTCAGATTTGACGAGATAATTGGCTTCCACGAGATCATAATATGAGGCCTATCACGGGCTTGTCACAAAAATCCACCGCAGCTGGTTAGTGAACTCATATTGCATAACGACATTGGGGACTGTAATAGGAAGCTGGTCCGAAACATATTTATACCTTTTGATGCCGAGGCTATTTTGTCTATGTCCGTATGTACAAGGCAAGTTGACGATTTTTGGGCTTGGAGTCATGACCCAAAGGGAACATTCTCAGTGAGGCGTATGCTTGTTACAACCAAGATCCGCACGGAGGCGTGGCTAGAAGGACGTGGAGATTCATCGACCAAGCAATGATCATGGTGAAAACTATGGAAAATACAAATTCCCTCCAAGGCTAGAGTTTTTCTCTGGAAGCTCGAACATGGCCACGTCCAACAGCTGTGTTATGTGTGGCAGCGAAGATTCATGGCGACATTCATTAATGGAGTGCACCATGTCAATATGTGTTTAGGCACTTGAGGATGAAGAGTTGGTTACTGCAATAAGTGAGACAATAGAGCCATATGTGCGCCGATGGATTTTTCACGGTAATGGACACTAGTGCAGAACCGGGCAATAGCACCGGTTCGTAAGGCCCTTTAGTGTCGGTTTGGTAACCGGCGCTAAAGTGTAGGCACTAAAGGCCCCCCTTTAGTATCGGTTCAGCACGAACCGGTGCTAAAGGGCAACCACGTGGCACGAGCCAGCTTCGGGGCAGGGAGCCCTTTAGTACCGGTTGGTGTCACCAATCGGTATTAAAAGATTGGGGGTTTTGGGTTTATGATTTTTTTCATTTAATTTTGTGTTTTTTATTTAATTCTTTTTCGTTTGCTGGTATTTTACAATACTACATATTATACAAGTTATGCATATATATAAATAGAATTTCTAGTAGAACCGATCATAACATATATATATATGTATATATATATCACCGAATGTCTCACAACCACTATTAATTAATTCACACATATATACACACATGTATGTATATATATATATATATATATATATATATATATATATATATATAAAATTTCTCCTAATTGGTGCCTTCGGAGCCAGTGGCATTAGCCTAATTGGTGCCTTCGGAGCACGATAACAATTGGAAGTGGTTCATGGGGCGGTAACGGGTAATAATATTCTCCTTTGGGATCTATGACCTGGTCGAGCAAAAATCCCGCTATTTTCTCTTGAATTGCTTCTATGCGCTCCTCTGTTAGGAGCTTCTCCCGCACCTCTTTGAACTGTTAAGAAGGAGATCAATATGCATGTGTATTAGTTGTGTGACTATATATCAATAATGGTGTAAAAATTGCGAATAGTGTTCTGACAAACGTACCCACTCCTGTTTTTGAGATTTGCTTCTTTCGGATGCCATCATGCGAATGTTCTCGCAAACGTAGTATGCACACAGATTATTCCCCGACGCCTGCTTTAGGGCATTACGAGAATGGAATTTGATCAGATAATAATTAATCAAGCATGATAACTAAAGAGATGGCAGCTAGCTAGTACTACTTAATTACTTACCTGGGGTCGATACCATTTTAGATTTTGTTTCCATGGGCCTGGATTGACCCTGATGAACTTTGCCCAAGCCCTGCCCGCCGACAAAGAAAATAAATAAATGGGTTATTAAATAGTTGTTATCAGGAAATGACGAACTAATTAAATAGGCCGAGATATAGTTAATAATGATTGAAATTACCTGTTAACTATCCCCTTCACGATGGTGTAGTCACTTGCTTTCTTAAGTAGTGAGTCTAGTACTTCAACTATTCCTTCATCAACTTTAATGATTAACAAGATCCAGTGAAATCTGCATGCACACACGTTTGCATGTTTTAATTAAGCGGGCATATGTAAGCAAAAACATGTAGCTAGCTAGTAGGCAAAAACAGAATTTGTAGTACAAGACAGTGTGACTCACTCGAAGTTGTAAGGAAGTAGTATATCTTCATTGTATTTGAGGTGCTTGAAGAACTCTAGCATGCTTTTCTCTACACTTTTTTCGTAATATGAATCTATTTTCCATGTGTATTCATTAATGATATTTGGGTCAACGAACCCAATGCCACAGCGTCCATCTTTTTTCATTTCATAAATCTTCATTCTGCATAATACCACAGAAAAGAATATAGTGAGGATAATTATAGGTAATGATTGATCAAAATGATCACTACAGCTAGCTTGAGACTTAAATTACAGAAAGAAATCACTTACAGACAATAGCAACTGACGGTAGATTTGTCGATTGCGTCTTGATTGTATAGCTGAAATAGTTCTGAATACTCAACGATCACAGCCTTCTCGTGGTAGTAATGATCCTTCTTGACATTCACCATGAGGGACTCTCGATTGGAAATCTTGGTAATGTCCGTGTACCATTGATGCAATTTATACATTCTCGTTGGGAGCTTATTGACCTCGTCTGGCTCGACCAAAGGTTGGCCCCGGACATATTTCCATTTTATTTCCTCCTCTCTAGTCGGAGACATGGGCTCGATATCGAGGAGTTGTCCAACAGTGATCCCGATCGTTTCAGCCTGCGTAATATACTCCTCGGTTATTACCACATCGCCCACCCCGGGAACGTTAATGGTTTGCCCACAATAATATTGGGCGCGCCTACTCTCATGTGTTGTTGGCACAACAAGCGGGGGGATTGATTGCGCCGCCTGTTCTCCCAGCTGGGGAACGGTTTTACCGCTCCTTTTGCCAGCTGATTTGCTCGAGCTCGAGCTCGCCTCTTTCTGTAGACGTGCTCGATTTAATTTCTTGATGCGGCGCTCATAGTCTGTGTCAACAGGCTTGGGAGCTGGTGCTCTAGCCATATGAATAAAGTGGTCAATCTTTTTCACATGCACTTTCTCCCTTGGCGGCGGTGGCGGTTTCGGTGCAAAATGGGCTTCCACCTCGGCCTTCGATATGGCTACGTTTTCCTCCTCGGACTTGTCGTAAGGCCTCTACGGAAGAGGCGCGAGGCTTGGACCATATTGAAATCGCTTGCCTCCGCCTGTACCTCCAGTACTACCTCGACTTGTACCGCTACGCACCATAGCTGAGGCGGCTCTCTTCCGTGATTGCTGAGGCGGCGAAGACAGCTGACGTGGCTGAGTTGGAGGAGGAGGAGTGGTCTGAAGCTATGCCGGACTTGGAGGAGGAGTGGCCTGAAGCTGTGCCGGACTTGGAGGAGGAGTGGCCTGACGCTTTGCCGGACTTGGAGAAGGAGGAGTGGCCTGAAGCTGTGCCGGACTTGGAGGAGGAGTGGCCTGACGCGTTGGTGGACTTGGAGGAGTGGGTGTCTGCTGACTCGGTGGCGGACTTCGACGAGGAGTCGGATGACGCGGTGTCGGTGTCCTTCGAAAGATGATGCAATCCTTTCTCCATAGGATGATACGATGGTTGGCCTCTCCCAGTGTGTGCTCATCGTCACCTTCAGGAATGTCAAGCCCCGAATATTGGTCCACCACCTCATCAACCAAGACACGATCATAGCCCGCTGGAATCGGGTTGCAATGGAAGGTTGCCTCAGGGGAATTTGTAAAAGCAAGGGTGTCCGTCACCTTCATGGATATGTTCTTCATTTTGAAGTGTACCTCGCAGTTAGTGTTCTCCATGATGTCGTCCACTAGGTAGCTATCCAGCAATGCTTGCCCGGGGCGGAACCCACGCTGCTTCTCGGCATGGATGGGACGGTGCTATCCAATGGTGGATCATCCGCTAGCTGCTGAGACCCTCTTTGCTGGCTAAGTGAGTCGATCTGCTCCTGCTGCCGCTGAAATTTGACTGCCAAGTCCGCGTGCGCTGATTCTAGGCCTTGAAGGCGTTCATAGTCTAGCTTCCTCTGCTCCTCCTCCATCTTCCTCTTCTTCTCCTACGCAATCTTCTTTCTTGCACGGGTTCTGTAGTCGACGTTCCAGTCCGAAAACCCCTCATACCACGGAATAGCGCCCATGCCTCGTGTTCTTCCCGGGTGTTCAGGATTTCCCAGGGCACGTAAGCTCGTCGTTCTCTCTGTTGGGCTCGAACACCCACGATCGAGCCTCTTCTATTGCAACAAGTAGCTTATCTTCGGCTCCGTCCAGACATGCCTTCTTCGAAACTTTGCCTGTCTTCGGGTCCAACTCGCCCCCCCCATGCGCATAGAACCAAGTCCTGCACCTGGGGGCCAGCTCAATGTTT